GACCATTAAAAAAATAAATTTGTTAATCAAAGGGTGCTCTTTCAGAAAGGCTTTTGAGTATCTAAAGTTAAGCTTGGCCTGCTCCTGCTCATATGGTGATTAATTGCCAAAGGTTGACAAATGCTTCATCTGCAAATCCCCTGCCATCTCTTATCTCACTCCCAGATAGGACAAGAGCACATTTTGTAGAAGACTCAGCATTTCAGGGGACTTACTATTTGTAGCTCTGGATACCTGTCACTGTTCTGGGGGGCCAACCTTCTAAACTAGGTAGAAACTAAGCTGAAAGTCTGGTGAGTCTTGGTTCCACGGCTCACTAACCTGAAGCTGAGATGGGAAGCATGCCAGGAACCACTCCCCACCCCCTTCTCAGATAAGCCATGTCCTCAGCCTTAACTACAAACCTTCCCTTCCCCTCAGCCTGAGGTTCTGTCTTAGGAAAGGCCTACCTACCATTCCCCTCTCTCTTCTGCCTTCTACCTCCTCTCTCCCCATACACCTTATATGAGATTTGCTTCTTCTAGAAAAAGAGGCTACAGACTGGGGAAAGGTTACATTCAATCTCAAATTCCTGATAAGAAACAGTTGCTGGGTCTGGATTTATTGAATTAGGAAAAGTCATATGCTTCAAACATGGAATGTCCAGAGATCACAAAACAAATCCTTTCTATCCCCATCTAAGGGATCTAAGAAGCTGAAGCCTCCACTGAAATTCCTGGGAAGGAGATTCAATAACCTCCTCTCCTCATATTCTTCTAGTATTCTCACCCAACCCTTACCAGTGGAAAAGTATTCCTTTTTTCTAACCTCATGAACTTCTGCAACAAAAAACCCTGTTCACTCTGGTTAAAATCTTCAAAACAATGGAAAGATCTTTCAGTTACTCTTAATATGTTTTGGGCTACTTCAGAAAGTAGTTGTGAAGCTAAATCAAATCCATGTGTTTACCATCTAAAATTTATATACAGTTTTACAATTTAGAAAGCAATTTGAAATATATTATCTTATTTTATTTGCTCCTTTCAACAGCCTCGTGAGAGAGATGCAATAAATGTTATAATCCTCAAATGACAGACTATGTTTGTGAACTGGAAAGCATTTCATATATATGAGCTATTGCTTTACATATGAGGAAACTAGAGGAGGCATGTGACTCGCCCAAGGTCACATAGTTAAGGGGAATGCCAGGCTCAAATTCAGAACTCCTGGCTTAGATCTAGTACTTCTCTGTTTTGGTCCTCACATGAGCTAAATAACTCTGCACAGAGAAAAACTGTTTTAGGGATGCAAATTTTAACCCATCTGTCCATCTCAAAACATTTGCCATGGAGAATGAGGCAAATGGATATAGATTACTTAGTAAAATTCATTACCATTCCTGTAAAAATAATTCAGTATCATTATCTCTGCTTGCAATCTCAAACACATTTTTAGAAACTCTAGAGAATTATATTAATGGGCAATAAGCCCATTAATATAATTAATATTAATTATATTAATTAATATAATTAAGTCCATGGACAAAAACTGAAAGGAACATGAACAGCTTATATTTTAGTAATAACTCATGTTCCAGTAACAGCTGATTAACATTAAAAGATAAGTCACAAACACTTCATGTTTCTTTGGAACCAGGAATCACTTCCCTAGAGGGGGCTAAAGGCTCTGCCAAATAAATATTCCAAAGCCCTCTTTACTTTGAGCCACAGTATTTCTCCACAGACATCCTCCTCTATCGTGTTGCTGACCTCCTAGAAAATACACATCACCTAGAGAGACTTCTCTAATTGGCCTTACTTTAATTACATTTGAAATTAATACATGAGTGGAAAAATCTGAAATGGAAGAATTGATACTCGCTGACATGTTCATTCTTTCTAACATTCATCTGTGAATATTTATTGAACACTTAGCCCACACAAGGTGCTAAGGTAGGCACACAGGGTATATCTGAGCAAACCAAACAGTCTTTTATGGAGCTTATAGTCTAGTGTTGCTTTTAAGTGGTTTTCAGGAGTTTTACACCTTTCCTAGTTTCCCAATTAGACTGCATGCTCTTTGTGAGCAAGAACTGCATACTTTCATTTTCTAAATCACTCTTATATCACTTTACACTAGGCTCTCTACACAGCAAACTGATAAACTAAAAGAGAATCCTTAACTCCATAAGCAGGGGCATTTCCTTCCACTCAATCCCTCCAGTACGACGTAAGACTGGGAATTACTTATTTGTCCAGTACAAATAAGCATTTATTCATTTTATTTTCCCAGGGAAAAGAGAGGAAGGGAAAGGGTCAGCATGTGTGTTACAAAATGATAGAAAATAGAAGTACCCAGCATAGCAAAATCAACCATCAAATAAACAGTCCCAGTGATGGGGGGGGTCATGAAAGCCCAAGGAGGGCTCAGTCTCCTACAGTTCAAAAATGAGGGGAAGGGATCAAGGAAAGAAAAGACAGGTACATGCTTTCCTACAGATTGTGAATTATTTAAAATCCAAGGTCTTGAGCCTGAGATGTCAAAAAGTCCAACAGAATGAGCCTACAGTGAAAGGGGTAAGACCCAAAGCAACTGGAGATAACTTGAAGGGGGCCCAGACCCCAGAACTGATCCTTTAACGGGGAAGGGAATCGGGGTAGGAGTAGAAGTGAGAAGCGCTCTCACCCTGCAAAGCTGCATTATGCCACAGGAGAAAATGAGGCTTTAACCACAGAAATTACAGGTGCGAGTCCCAAAACTGTTAAAAAGTGCAAAGAAATGCTGAAGAGCATCTCACCCTGCTGCCAACAAGAGAATGAATCAGTGTCCCCCGTATTCCACAGGACCAGTATACAGAACTATTTAGACAGACTGGGGCCATGAACAGAGCCAGGGATTCAGATTCAGAAGACCTGCGTTTGAGTCCAGATTCTGCTACTAGTCAGGCAAGACGGCACTGGGCATGCCAGGTATCCTCGCTGAGCATCAATTATCCCTTCCATAAAATGGGAATAACAACTTCTGATTTGTCTGCCTCAGAAATATCGTGAGCCTCAAAGGAGATATGTTCCTATGAGAGCACTTAGGAAAACGTACTGTGCTTTACAAATCCTGAGAAGACAGTGAAGATATACAAACTCCCAGAAGAGCATCTCTCATCAGTCCAGGAACCCACATTGCCTCCTTCTTGCACTCCCCCAACATCTAAGTTTCCATTTTCTCATGTCCCTGAATTCAAAGAAATAGTCCACCATCCAAATCTCAAAAATGCAAGTGCACTAATCCCAAACGCCAAGAGCATGAAAAGGGCAGCATGTAAAGCATTTCAACTCCTTGCCTTGACATGCCTCTGTGCTCCCTTTACAAGAGTCAAACTATAGAGTATGGCTCCGCTGGCTGAGCGCCGTCCTGCACACTGAAAGGTTGCCGGTTTGATTCCTGGTCAGAGCACATACCCAGGTTGTGGATTCCATCCCGTCAGGGGGCATGTGAGGTCAACATTTCTCTTTCTCCCTCTCCCTTTCTCTCTCTCAAATCAATAAAAACATAATTTTTAAAGAAAGGGTACAAGATGAAGGTTCGAACCAGCCACATACACTTTCTGTTTTTTGTGACTGTCTGCCTTTTCCTTTCCACTGCCAAGTCAGGTCCCTCTGTCTGAGGACTGCTGAACTAATCTAAACAGGACTCTAAGGCAACAGGGGTTTGGGGGAGAGAGATTATATGCACCGAAGAACACATTCCATAGCCAAAAAGAAATTATTATTAGTGTGCATTAGCAAAGGTTAACTGGACATGAAGAAAGCAATTACTTCCTTGCAAATAGTCTTCCCCAGCTCTCCAATATTTTCCAGGCCCAGTCCTTCCACTTGCTAGTTCAGTCCTCTATCCTGTTAGGATGTGCGTGCAGCACCCACAAAACCACTCTCAAGATTCCCAAGGAGAAAGGTTGAAGGGAGGAGGGGAAAGAGGGCAAACACCTTACAAAGTTGTAAACTGTGTTGTGACCAGCAATGGGGAGGCTGGAGAGACTCTGGGGTGGGGGAGGGGCATCCTGTGCTCCCACTCTAAGGGCCAGTGCATATCTGCCCATCACGCCNGGCAGACACCTTACAAAGTTGTAAACTGTGTTGTGACCAGCAATGGGGAGGCTGGAGAGACTCTGGGGTGGGGGAGGGGCATCCTGTGCTCCCACTCTAAGGGCCAGTGCATATCTGCCCATCACGCCTATGGGCCCAAAACAACTCCTTCCGGCTCTAGGCAGAGAGAAGGCTGATTTTGCAGAGTGAAGCTTATTAAAAATGCCTTGCAAGATTAAATCTAGAGCATTAGCCGGTTGGCAGGTCTCAAGTTAAACCCTAACCTTGGAGAAGAAAAAATTCTAATGTGACCTATTCATTTGGAAGCCGTTATTAGCCATGTTTAAAAAAAAAAAAAAAAAATCCAGCCCTGTTGGGATGCAAAGGGTGTTTCTATCCTATCATTCAAACCAAGAACATCTTTCTCATTCTAGAATGGGATCCACCCCATCACCAAACCCCACCATTCCACAACCACCAGTCCGATGGAGGCCCATACCACTGCCAGGGCCCTTCACTCAGCAGCTCCAACACCTAAAGCCAGTCCCAATCCACCCTTGCAAACAGGTAACCCTTACCCAGTCTTTCCTCCATTTCCTACCCTCCAGGCTGGCAAGTTAAGGACTCAAATTCGGCCTCTAGCCTAGCAAAAGCTAAAGTTGGCTGGAGGCATTTGCCCCTCCTCCCCACTCCTGGCTTCACTGTCTATTGCTTGTATAAAAATTAAAAAACACACTGAATCAGGAGATGTTTTGAGTAGGGATACACACAGGGAAGATAAACACACATGTCCAGACAGTCCCCAGAGATCAGTGCATGCTTCCACCCCACCATTCCCACAGTCCACCCAGACCCTTCTTTTGCAACCTTTTATCAAAATGCACCACCCTCCCTCCCGGTCTTTCCTTAAGTGTTGAAAAGCCCCATTATTGGCAAACCTACCTGTCTATACTCTGGGGTAACCTTACACTCATGGTTTCTTGGTGTCTCCACGGTTTCAGAATCCTGTAGTATTGATGACTTGATCAGGACTGAATCCTTGCAATTTTTAAGAAAGGTGAGAGGAGGGCCTCCCAACTTGAAGACTGAATCCTTGTTCCTCCAGCTCTCAGGACCCTAGTAACTGAAGGTCCATTCTACTTTACCAGTTAACATGGTCTGCTTTCTTAGTCCTTCCCCCTCCCCCCCCCCTTAAAAAACAAAACGAAAGAAAAAGAGGAAAAACTATGACCTTAGAAACCAAAAACCCAACCACAAATCTCTAAAAGGTTAGCGCTATGGGCTAAAAAATGAGACACAGAAAGAATATGCCCCCAAAATATCAGTCTTACTACAAAATATAGATAAAAACCATCCTTTTAATCCAGTTTTTCCAGCTGTCCTTCTGTTGGTAAAAGAGCCTCAAGCTTCAAAGGTGGAAAAATCCTCAGGTCTTCAATGCTTAAAACAACAGATACATTTGAGGGAATGATTAAAAAAAAAAAAGAAGAATAAATCAGAATTGGCACTTGGAAAACAAAAAAAATCTTCCAGCTGATTTGCACAGCAAAAAGAAAAAATTAAACCATACAATAGTATGTAAACAAAAGCACTCCTTCCAAGTCCAGTACAACCCTGGAACCAAAATTATGAATTTCCTTTAAAAACAAAAACAAAAAAGCTGTTACATTAAAGGTTCTGAAATTCTTAAGCGAGCCACTCGCACCAGAAAAAAACAAAAATTAAAAAACACCTGAAATGCAATGCTTTTTACCTTTAAAACGGTAGCAATAACCACAAACCAGACAAAATCTTCTCTCCTTTTCTTTTTCCTTTAAACTTGCAGGTTTCTCCACCTACCCAGCCTGATTCTCAGACCCAGCCTAGGTTCGGCCTTCTTCTGAAAGACATTCCCTGAGTTAGTTCTGCTGTTTTGCTTGTCCACATCCAGGCTCCGAATTTTTCTGTTGCCTCAGCCTCCATGAAACAGATTTCGCTTCCTCCCGTTCGCCCTTCGCTCCTACTCTCCCGGCCTGAACAACTGCTCCCTTATCCTGAGGGCTTCGGCTGATTATTGTGGATTTGAGTCCGGGTGGGATTTGGATTTTCCTCCACACCAGCCTCCGGGAAAATCCGATCGCCCGCTTCTCCCCCGGCCTCTCCGCTCCTCCCTCCGCCTAACCGCG